TGATGTCAGCCTGTCAGCACAGAGCCTGCTTCAGATTCTCAGCCCTTCCCCTGCTTGTGCTCTCCCAAAAAATAAACAAATATTTTTTAAAAATAAGATAAAAAATAAAATCATATGCTTCCCGTGCATTCTTATTTCACCTCTCTTAATTTTTTCTTAATTATCATGACAGCTTCTTTATAGTGCCATCCACCATTCTAAGCACTTTAAAAATATTTTTTTTTAAGAGTTTGTTTATTTTTGAGAGAGAGAGAGCAGGGGAGGGACAGAGAGAGAAGGGGACAGAAGATCCAAAGCAGCCTCTGTGCTGACAGCAGACAGCCAATGCGGGCAGTGCTTGGACTCAAATTGTGAGATCATGACCTAAACCAAAGTCGATGCCTAACAGACTGAGCCACCCACGCGCCCCAGCACTTTATAAATATGAACACGTTTAATGTGCAACAACCCAATGTGTTACTTTTATTATTTCTATTTTACTGATCAGAAAACCATGGCACAGAAAGATTCTGTAATTTATTTTTTTATCTTTGAGAGACAGAGACAGAGCGTGAGCAGGGAAGGGGCAGAGAGAGAAGGAGACAAAGAATTCAAAACTGGCTCCAGGCTCTGAGCTGGCTGTCAGCACAGAGCCTGACGCAGGGCTCGAACCCACGAACCGTGAGATCATGACCTGAGCCGGACGCTCAGCTGACTGAACCACTCAGGCGCCCCAAGATTCAGTAATTCAGTAATTTGTCTGAGGACACACACACAATTAATAAATGGCTGAGTTGGGATCTAAACAATCTGATTGTGAAGTCTGTGCGGCTAACCATACTCTGCTGTCTCTCCATACGTAGCACTAACCACCTTCTATGATACTACATAACATCTTTGTTTACTGTGGGTCTCTACTGCCACCTCCACCCCCGTCTAAATGCCAGCTCCAAGAAAACAGAGTTTAAAGAAAAAAATCTGTTTTGTTTACCTCTGTCTTCTAGCACCTAGAACAGTGTCTAGTCGGTAGATTTAAAGAGTATTTGTTAAAGAAAAGAGATCTTTAAAAAGGACACTATGTACTATTTTAAAGTGACAAAGATGTTTTAAAGTATCAGTTAAATATATAAATTTATGGGAGAAAAAACTCTATTGTCTATAAGAAGTTAATCAGAGGGGTGTCTGGGTGGTTCTGTCTGTTGAACGTCTGACTCTTGATTTCGGCTCAGGTCATGATCTCACGGTTTTGAGATCCAGCCCCGCATCAGGCACTGCACTGAGCATGGAGTCAGCTTGGATTGTCTTACTCTCCCTCTGTCTCTCTCTGCCTTTCCTCTGCTCTTGTTCTCTCTCTAAAATAAATAAATAAGCTTAAAAAAAAAGAAATCAGAAAAATATAATCATAGGGTGTGAAATAGAGGAAAATGATCAAAGTTATCTTTTTCCCACAAGAAAATCTAACCCTTTGGGGTTTACCAGTAAATACTTTTTTTTTAAGTTTTAAATTTATTTTAGTAATCTCTACACCTCGTGTGGGGCTAAAACTCACGTTAAAATCAGGAGTAGGGCGCCTGGGTGGCTCAGTAGGTTAAGCATCCGACATCGGCGCAGGTCATGATCTCACGGTTCAAGCCCCGCATTGGGCTCTGTGCTGACAACCAGCTCAGAGCCTGGAGCCTGCTTCGGATTCTGTATCTCCCTCTCTCTCTGAACCTCCCCTGCTCTTGCTGTCTCTCTCTCTCAGAAATAAATAAAAACATTAAAAAAAATTTTTTTTTTAAATCAAGAGTAACATGCTCCTCCAACTGAGCCAGTCAGGTGCCCCACCAGTAAATACTTCTGTTTGTTATTTTTATTTCAATTATTTTTGAAATATTTGTGAAAATCAATCATTATTATATACTATGCCGAAAGGATAAATAAGAAAAACCACATAGCTTATCTCAGGAGTCATTTTATGAAATCTAATAAAATTTGGTACTCATTCTTTTTTTATTTATTTTATTTTTATTTTTGAGAGAGAGATAAGGACAGCATGAGCAGCGGAGGGTCAGAGAGAGAGGGAGACACAGAATCTGAAGCAGGCTCCAGGCTCTGAGCTAGCTGTCAGCACAGAGCCCAATGCAGGGCTCGAATCCACAAACTGTGACATCATGACCTAAGCTGAAGTCGGACGCTTAACTGACTGAGCCACCCAGGCGCCCCTCGGTACTCATTCTTAATGGAAAAGAAAACTGAGCTTATGATGAAAAGCCTCTATGTGAAGTAGCCAATTTTGGACTTTGAGTGAGAAACATTAAAAGTGTTCTTAGTTAAAATAAGCAAGAAAAAGAGAATGCCTGCTATCATTTTTGTGATTGATCTTGTTTTAGTCCTGACCAGAATTGTTTAACATTCCCCAAATAAAACAATGAAAAAGGTTGTCCAGACTAATAAGAGGTGTAAATATTGAAGGGAAAGAAATAAAAATCCTTAATTATAGATGATACAATTTATATTTAGAAAATCCTAAGGAATCACACAAAAAACTTAATATGCATATAGATTCAACAAAGTAGTTAGATATGAGATGAATATGCAAAAATAAATAGCAGTGTTAATATATGAGCTATAGCAAGTTAAAATGTCTTCAATGTATGTTCTGTATATATATATATATATACACTTGCCATAATTTTTCTTAAACATAATAGCATTAAATCATATAATCCCTACAGGGGAGCAATTATGAGACATCCCCAAAAACTTGCAAATAAAGAAAATAAGATAATCCTAAGGGAGTTAAACTATAAGATTAGTTACCAAATGGGTTGGAACCAGAAACAGGTGAGGTATCCTTAAAGAAACGGTTTTCCAGGCCTAAAATTTCAGTATAATCTGATCGAAGGGAATCAGAGGTCCCCAGGATCACCCTGAGGCTCAGCAGTTCCCAAGGACTAATAAATCTCAGCCTATAGTCACACTCAGTACTGAGATTTATCACAGTAAAAGGATACAGAGCAAGATCTCAAAAGAAAACAGCACATGCATTAAGAAAAACAGGCACAAACTTCTAAGACCCCTCTCCAGTGATGTCACCCTGGATGCCCTCAATTTCTCTAGCAACAAGTGAGACAATGTCTACCACGAAAGCCCACTAGGGACTCGGTGCCCAGGGTTTTTATTGGGGACTCACTGTGTAAACCCCCTCACACATATCAAAAATGCCATTCTCCTAGAAGGAAAGCGGGTGCTCAGCATAAACATCATGTTTACACAGTCTAGACAAATGGAGCTGGTCTTCTCAGTTCTGCTAATGGTGGGAACCCTCCCCAAATCTAAGTCCCCAGAAGCCAGCCTGTGACCAACTTTGTAAGCACCCTTTCAAAGGATTGCAGTGAGGCTTTAACAAAACAAAACAAAAAAAGAAAGGCTGAGTCTTTGCACATAGTATTTAAAGAAAAAAAGAAGAAAAAGGTTGGTCAACAGGAGAAGCAAAGAGAAAGGAGACCTTGGGACACAAATAACAGCCATGTGCATAACACGATCCAAGATCAAGAGCATCATGGCCAACGACCCAGCAGGCCATGTCTGCAGTGTGGTTAAATGTCTCCAGCTTCCTTATCTGAAGAATGCTCCTTAATATCATTCATCTTACTCCCTCTGTTTTGATTTCAGGAAATTGCTAATTTATTTGTGTAATTTTTTATATTGATAGTATATTCACAAAGTCCCAAAATCAAAAATTTCAATAAGACTTTATTATGATATCTCTTTAGTCCTCCCACTCCCAGTTCACTCAGTTACCTTCTCTCTCTATGGGTAATTACTATTATCTGTTTCTTGTTTATCCTTCTAGGAGTTTTTTAAAAATGTGTATATAAGCCAAAACAAATACAGTCTTTAGTCCTCTTGACCATGTAAATAGTACTAACGTACTATACACAAAGTCTCTATAGCTTACTTTGTTTTCACTTAATAAGAAATGTTGGAGATCTTTTCATATCCCTTCATAAAGAACTTCTTTGTTCTTTTTTTTATAACTGCATAGTATTCCATTGTATGGTTATGCCATAATTTATTTTACCAAACCCTTGTTGCTGGTTGTTTGGTTGTTTCTAGTACTTTACTATTGCTAACAGTACTGCAAGGAGTAACTAGGACTTAAAGTTATTATAGGTTTGAGAATGTATTAGTAGCATAAGTGTTTAGTTGTGGAATTGCTGTGTTAACGGAATATACATTTGAATTTAATAGATACTGCCAATTTGTCTTCTAAGGAGATTGTACCAGTTTATACTCCTACCATCTACGTATGAGTATTTGTTTTCCTGTATTCTTGCCAGTAGAGTATATTCTCAAACATTGGGAAATTTTGCTAAACTGGTAGGTTAAAAATGATATTGTAGTATAGTTTTGATTTTATTTCTCTTATTAGCAGCAAGGTTGAGCTTCTTTTCATGTTTTTAAGCCAGTTGTATTCCTTTTTCTGTGAATTCTCTGTGATCTTCCACCCATTTTTCTATTGGATCAGTGGTCTTTTACTTAAGGATTCGGAGAAGCTCTTTCTGTATTAAGGAGATTAATCTTTGTAATGTGCCTTGCAGATATTTTCCCCATTTCATCATTTTGCTTTTGATTTAGTTTATGCTGTATTTTACTATGCACAAGCCTTTGGTTTTGTAACTGGGTTTATTAATCTTGTTTTAAGTTTATTTATTTTTTAGTAATCTGTATACCTAACGGGCTCAAATTCATATCCCCAAGATCAAGTGTCACATGCTCTTCCAACTGAGCCAGCCAGGTGCCCCTAGGTTTATTAATCTTAATCATAGTAGTTAGGAACATCTTCTAAATTATAAAAACCTCACCATTTTAAGAAAGCTCATTATGCCTAGTGGTTATACATGGATGGCAGTCTCTTCAGCTATTACTGATGTTTCCTGCATCTATGAGTAAAAGGGCCCTATCTGTACACTTACGATGTGCTTCGAAAAACTACTGAGTCTTTAATGAAACTTTTAAATTCTCTTATGTTACAGAATTTCACAAACTTATTTGGACAGCCGCTAGTCTGCTTGCTTTCTCCTACAGCGTATCCAAAGGCTTTACAAGGTACGTTGTCATTACCTGTCCTATCAGTAGGTTGCAGAGAACTACTGTGTATATTTTGAATAATACTGATCTCTGTCTTCCCAACCTATAGTGATCACATGTGGCTTTATAGTATTTAATGTGGCAGCTGTCAGTCTGAAATACACCTAGCAGTCTTGCCCACAACTAGACTTCTTTAATGTGCTACCATTCGTTCTTGAGATAAATCTAAAAGAAATGATAAATCGCCCCTGAGAAAAATGTGGTTTTTTGGTCCCTTACTGTTGGGGAATTCATGATTTGTGAATATTAAAATTCATTTTACAGGTGTTCTGTTCTGTTCTGGTGTGCCTGTCATCATTCATATAGTATGATTTCCTGTATCTCTGGCTACCTAATTTAGGCATCTTTTAAGACCGTAAGATTTTTGGTCTAGAAAACCTCTCGGCCTCTGCCTAAGAGTTAGGAGAACCAAACTGGCACAAACTTAAGGGTTTCTTTTATTCACATTTTTACCTCGTTATATTTTTTAAATAAAAGAACCTCTTTTCAGCATGCCAGGGAGACAGTGTGTCAGTGTTTTGGCAGTTTCTCAGGTGGCTGAGAAATGAAAGACTTTGTCTTTTATAATTTATCCTTGATAAACAACACGTAAAATCTAATTCTAACTCCCAGTCAATAAGCTAGGTGAAAACTAAAAAAACCTAATACTGTTTTAGCAGTACTTGTCACTGTTTCACTATCTCCCTGACTGTGAATAGTGCTGATGTCTCTCTGTGGGAGATGGCATTTTACTGCTACTTCCCAGCCAGAAGTCCTGTCTGCTGACATAGTTTGACACAGGAAGTGATTGATGGTCAGCATTTGAAAGCCTGAGAGAAGCTGGAGACTTTTCACCGTTGTTTTAAGGTAAGTTTTGCTATTTAACAGGGAAAAACATGTAGAAATATTAAGCTCATGTATCCAAAAGCCAAATTACTAAGGGATAGAACTTACCTTCAAACAACGGTAAAATTCTCCTGCTTTGAGGACTTTGTTAACGTGTTTGCTGTCATTTCTGGAGAAATGTAACCTCTTCCAGTTATTTAAGAGTGCTTTTTCCTATTATTTTTGTCTTATCAAGATGCAGCTCTATTTAAAATTGCATGATCTAATGTGTTAATACCAAGATTATTTAGTCCAAAAGGCTTTATTGCGTCGAGGGTAAGAACACCAGACTCTGGAGGCGAACTGAATTTAAATCCCGACTCAACCACTTACTTGCCTTGTGACCTTGGGAAGTTACTTAGCCGTTCTGTGCCTCAGTCTCTTTCCTATCCAATGGAGATAATAATAGTACATCCTTGTTAAAGAATTCTGGGTATATAGGAAGTGTTCAGTATGTACTATCATTTTTTTTAACTATCATTATTCTTAATGCTTTTTATTATGCTTAATTGTAGTCTATGTGCTTAACAGTTTTTAGCTTAGTTTCATATCTTTGTGCTAGAAAGCTTAGACTTTCAGTCTCTCAAATTTGGCCTATCTGGGCACAAAACTAGCAGATACCTAAGTATTTGGAAGGTCTAATTAGATTACTGCCCCTCTTGTGTCTAACATGTATAGTTCTGGGGTGCCTGGGTGGCTCAGTCGGTTAAGCATCTGACTTCAGCTCAGTTTCATGATCTCATGGTTCGCGAGTTCGAACCCCGCATCGTGCTCTTTGCTGACAGTTCAGAGCCTGGAGCCTGCTTCAGATTCTGTGTCTCCCTCTCTCTCTGCCGGCCCTCGCTCATGCTCTATCTCTCAAAAATAAACCTTAAAAAATTTTTTTAATAATAAAGTGTACAGTTCTCCCTTTAGCCATGAGTTACATGATTTATTCAATAAATCTTTACTCAGCACTTATATACAAGGTGCCCTGCTGGGCACTGGGGATAACACACATGTAGAGGAACTCCTAACTGGCCCTTGCAGGTGAAGAAAGTGGATAAAAAGATGTTAAAGTGGAGTTGATGGATATATTGATTTATATGGGGCTGGTTTTAGCAGAACAATAATGGCATGTGAGCCCCGACATAAGAGCTCTGTGATGGTAGCTTATGGAACTTTTTTTTTTTTTTTAAGATTTTGCTTTTAAGTAATCTCTACACGCAACGTGGGGCTCGAACTTCTAGCCTTGAGATCAAGAGTCACATGCTCTACCGACTGAGCCAGCCAGGCACCCCAGGTTGTGGAACATTTAGAGAAATTAAAGTACTTCCTGCTAGCAGAATGGTAGGGTGTAGGATTGTGTGACTGAATCATGAAAAACCTTTTAGGACTTGTGAAGAGATTTAAATGGAGGACAGTGGGATACCGTCAAAAGATTGTGAAGAGCAGAGCAGCCTGGAAGAGCATTCAGTTAATCTTGTGGAGAATGAATTGGAGAGGAACATTGATGGAAATAGGGAGATGGTGGTGGCTGGAGCTAGGACACCACTTTGAAAGAGACTAAGCCCAGAGAGCCGACAGGGTTTGTTGATGGACTGGATAGGAGGGAATAACGGGGGAGGCATGGATGGACTTCCAGGTTTCTGGCTGAGCTGCTGGTAGAAATGATGGTATTGGATGAAAAGCAAATTTGTCGAGGACATAAGGGGGAAGAATTTGCTTTCAATTTCTGACATGCCAGGTTGGAGGTTACCTATGAGAGTTGGGTTGAATATTGTAGTCTTGAGCAACTTTGTTTAATAGAAAGATAATGCAATTCACTTGTAATTTTAAGTTTTCTAGTAGCCACATTTCAAAAAAAGTAGAAAGAAATGGGTGAAATTAACAATAATATGTCTTTCTGTACTGAGGCTTTGAAATCCCACATATATTTTATACTTCACGGTGCATCTCAGTTTGGACACATTTTAAATGTCCAGTAGCTACAGCAAGACAATGCATATCTAGACCTAAGGAGCTCAGTCTAGGCTGCAGATAAGAGAATTGGGAATTAGTAGGCATATAAGTGATAACATAGTAGGTATATGGGAGTAGGTAGGATCGGCAATGTGTAGGGTGAAAGATAGAAAATACTGATATTTAAGGGGTAAGCAGAGAAAGAGCAACTAATTAAGGGGAATGAAAAAGATCTCCAATTCTAGTACTCAGAATTCTATCATGAACTGCCCATATACTTGCCATATTTGGATGAAATTTATTAGTTGGAATGAAAAAGGCAAATGAATGTGTTCCTTTCCCATTTCTCTTAAGTTTATACTAGGCTCTATTGTAAGTTTGTTTGGCAGAAAGTAGGGCACCTGGGATGTTTTTGTAGTTCCGTGCAGAATCTACTTTGTTGAATTATGATTTAATGATATAAATTTAATTTAATACATTGTCACTATATTAAATTATTCCTCAAAATGCATCTCTTATTTTTTTTTTTTGCAAAACTGTTGTCTCTATATATAACATGTTTGTTATTACAGATCAATCTCAACGAGGTAGCCTCTTCACTCTCTTTTTGAACAATCCTCTAATGGCCTTCCTATTTGTCTCTGGATTGTCAAGCATGCGCAGAAGCCTATGGGAAAAGTGTCAAGAATATCTTCGAAAAATCAACCGCGATATTGCCCAGCTACTGACCCATTCACGTTCAATAGGTACCCTACTAATCTAACTGCACACTTAACATACTATAATGTTTTTTAAGTTGTTGAAATTGTTTGAATTTTTAAAGGTATTTGTTGAAGGCAGGAAAGTTGAGAAGGTTTTCCTGAACTTTCTTCCCCTGGAAATGTGTTTTCCTTTTAAACCTCTTTTTACTGTCATCTTTCTCCTCTTTGCAGATCAGGCATTTCTCCAGTTTTTTGGAGATGAGTTTCTTCGCTTGCTTCTCACAAGATTTATCTTTTGTTCAGCCACCATGAGGATGCACAAGATTTTTCGGGTAGGCAAAGAATATTATTAAAGACCAATTTTACCATTTTAGGTATTTAAGAATCATGTATTATATTTTATTAAATGTATTACATTAAATAAGATTTGAATAGATCCAAAATCATATTTACAAATTAATATGTAACATATAATGATGACCAATATAAGATACATCTGAATACTCAACATCCAGATTAAGAAATAGAACATTTTCATTACCTTTTAGGCCCTTCCCAGATCCTCTCTCTCTCTCTCTCAAATGAAATTAAAATCCTGAATTTTATACTTCTCATTCACCTTTCTTTATGATTTTGCTACATGTGCCTGTATTCCTGCATAACATACAGATGGATGCACATTGTATGTATTCTTCTACAGCTGGCTCTTTTTTCACCTACTGTTTTATTTGTGAGATTGAGCCAAGTTGATGACAACTGTAGCTTTCATTCATTTGTTTTCACTGCCCTATAGGATTCCATTGTTTGACTGTTTCTCATCCATTCTACTGATGATGAACATTTAGGTTATTTCCAGGTTTTTTATTGTTATAAACAATGCCATTGTGACATCTTCTATCAGTTACCTGGTACACACATGTACTTTCTGTGGGGAATTACTACAGTAGGCTGTGAGGTCAGATGATGTAAGCATCTTCAACTTTCCTAGGTAATGCCAGACGGTTTTGCAGAGTGGTTGTATCAGTTACACTCAGCAACAGGGTGTAAGGCTTACTGTTGCTCTGGTCCTCTCCAGCTCTTGTTGCAGTCTTCCTTCATCATCGTGTGTATCTGATGGATATAAAATCTTTACTTTTTATTTCTGAGATTGCTTTGAGATTGAGCAACTTTCATGTATTGTTCTGTGTTCTTGTTTGTAAAAGAGTGTGTTCAAATCTTTGGTCCATTTTGCTCTTAAGTTTTTTTTCTTTCCTGCAAATTCATGGAAATACATAACACTGTTCATTAAGTTTTCAAAAAGTTTAACCATTATACTTTTCATTTCTATAAGTAACATTTGGTTCTTTTTCAGATATGCCTAAACATTTTTAAGTGTCTTGTAACTTTTAGTTTTAAAATATGTTGATGTTTTTTTCCATTTTATTGTGGTGATTTTAAACATGAAAAAATTGAATGGTGAATATTCATTTATATACACTAGCTAGATTCTACAGCTAAGCATTTTGGTATATTTCCTTTGGAATATTTGTCCACTTACTGGTTTCTCTTTCCATTCATCAGTTTATCTCATTTTTTGATGTGGTTTGAAATAAATGATCGACATCAATAGCCTTTAACCCTCAACACATCATCATGCATATATATATATTCTTTTTTTAAGTTTTAAAGGTTTTTTTTATTTACTTTGAGAGAGAGCAAACAGGGGAGAGGCAGAGAGACAGAGAGAGAGAGAATCCCAAGCAGGTTCCACACTGTCAGCGAAGAATCAAATGTGGGGCTCAAACTCATGAACCGTGAGATCATGATCTGAGCCAAAAATCAAGAGTCAGAGAGTCAGACGGTTAATTGACCGAGCCACCCAGGTGCCAGTCTCTTTTTCTCTCTCTCTCTCTCTCTGTATATATATATATATACACACACACACACGCACATATATTTTTTTTTAATGTTTATTCACTTGGGGGGAGAGAGGAAGAGAGAAATGCAAGTGGGGGAAGAGCAGAGAGAGAGGTGGGGGTGGGGCGACACAGAATTCAAAGCAGATTCCAGGCTCCAAGCTGTCAGCACAGAGCCTGACGAGGGGCTTGAACCCACAAACCATGACACCATGACCTGAGCTGAATGAAGTTGGACACTTAACTGACTGACCCACCCAGGTGCCCCTATTCTTTTTTTAATGTAAAGTTTGTATACATTGAAGTGCACAAAACTTGTACCGTGAGGTGCATTTCGACAAATTCATATACCTATGAATAACTCAAACCAATCAAGTTATACAACATAGCACCATTCCAGAGAATTCTCCCCACGCCCTTTTCCAATCAGTCCAGTACCCATTACCCCAGAGGCAAGCTATTTTTACTATTTTCACTCTAGCTTAGTTTTACCTATTCACAAAGTTGAAATATACAGTATGGACTCTTTTGTGTGAACCTTCTTTGACCAAGCATGTTGTTCTTGAGATTAATCTGTGTTTCATGCATAAGTAGCTCATTCCTCTTTATTACTGAGTTATGATAGTCCGTGGTCTGAATATACCACAGTTTATTTAGGCCTTCTCCTTTTGATGAACATCTGGGCAGTTTTAAAGTTTTGACTACTATAAATAACGTGGCTGTGAACATTCTTGTATGAGTCTGCTCAGACATATGTTTTGAATTTTCTTGGTCAGAGGGTATGTATGTGTTTCCTTTTGTAAGAAACTGCCGGACTTCTTCGTTTGTACCATTTTATATTTCCAGCAACAGTATATATAAAAGTTTCTTTATATCCTTGCCAGCATTTGGTGTTTCCAGTCTTAAATCTCAACCATTTTTGTGGATTTATAGTGTTTTCTCATTGTACTTTCAATTTGCATTTCACTAAATAATGTGATATTAGACATCTTTTCATGTACTTATCAGCTATATTTTTTTGCATTCAGTGGCTTGCCTTTTTCTTAACAGTGGCTTTTGAAGACTAACCAATTTTTTGCCTATGTGTGGCTTGTGTTTTGTCCAAGAAATGCTTGCCTATTTCCAGTCACAAAGGTTTTTTCCAAGTTTTCTTCTAGTTTTATAGCTTTATTGTTTACATTTGGGTTTATGATATATTTTGAGTTACTTTGGTTTACAGTGTGAGGTGAGGGTTAATGGTTTTTTCTTTCATTTGCATATGAAACTATTTTAGTATAGTTTGTTGAAAAGATTATCCTCTTCTCATTGAATTACTGTTGTAACGTTTCTGAAAATCTGTCAACCGTGTTTGTATAGAGATATTTCTGGACTCTAAATTCTGTTCCATTGACCTATAGTATTTTTCTGCAATACCCTACTGCCTTGATTATTCTAGGTTTATAGTAAGTCTTAAAATCCTGTAGCGTGAGTCCCCCTAGAATTTAAGCATTTCAGTTGTCCTAGTTCCTTTGCATATCTATGTGAAATTTAGCATCAATGTCACATTTGGAATGGATTGTATTTAATCTATATAACCGATCTGGGGTGAATTGTATTTTCATAATATTGAGTTTTCCAATCAGTGACTGTAGTATATTTCCCCATTTATTTAAGTCTTTAGTTTCTCCCAGCAGTTTTGTGGTTCTTGTCTTCCGGCTCTTATATGCATTTTAATACATTTATTCCAGAGTATTTCAAGTTTAGTGACGCATTATAAATGAATTGTATTTCTATTTCATTTTCTTTTTTCTTAAATTTTCTTTTAATGTTTATTTATTATTGAGAAACAGAGAGAGACAGAGCATGAGCAGGGGAGGGGCAAAGAGAAGGGGAGACACAGAATCTGAAGCAGGCTCCCATCTCCAGGCTGTCAGCCCAGAGCCCGACACGGGGCTCAAACTCAAGAACCATGAGATCATGACCCGAACCAAAATCGGACGCTTAACCAACTGAGCCACCCAGGCGCCCCTTTATTTTTCATTTTCTAATTGTTTTTTTCTAATAGGTAGAAATACTGCTGGTTTTAAAGTTGACCTGGTTTCCTTGCAGTCTTGCTAAATTGAAATATTAGTTCTGTTAGCTTTTTTATACTTTCTTTAAGATTTCATATCTACATGATCCTGTTACTGTCAAGTAAAAACAATTAAAAAAATTTTTTAATGTTTATTTTGAGAGATAGAGTATGAGCCAGGGAGGGGCAAAGAGAGAGGGAAACCACAATCTGAAGCAAGCTCCAGGCTCTGAGCTGTCAGCACAGAGCCTGATGCAGGGCTCGAATTCACGAACCACTAGATCACGACCTGAGCCAAAGTTGGATGCTTAACCAACTTAGCCAACCAGACACCCCAAGAAAAAATAGTTTTACTTCTTCCTTTCTAGTCTGTATACCTTTTATTATGATGGGATTTTGTTTGTTTTGTTTTTGTGTTTGCCCTTTATATCAGGGTTAGGTCTTCTGGTAAAATGTTAAATAGAAGTAGTGAGAATGGATATCCTCACCTTGTTCGTGATTTTTGGGAAAAAATATTTAGTTTTTTACCATAAATTCTTTTTTTTTTAATCTTCTCTTTTTATTTATTTTTTTAAGAAAAAATCATTTGTCCCACTTTATTTTTTTTTATAGTGTAGCTCAATCTTTTATTTTTTTGTCTTTTTTTTAATTTCACAAATAGTTTATTGTCAAATTGGTTTCCATATAACACCCAGTGCTCATCCCCACAAGTGCCCTCCTCCATGCCCATCTCCCCCCTCCCCCCTCCCCCCCACATCCATCAGTCCTCAGTTTTTGTCAGCATTCAAGAGTCTCTCATGGTTTAAAACGGGAGGTATCACCATCCCAGACTTCAGCCTCTACTACAAAGCTGTCATCNCGCACACACACACACACACACACACACACAGATGTGAGCAGGGGAGGGACAGAGAGGGGGGAGACACAGGCTCTGAAACAGGCTCCAGAGTCTGAGCTTTCAGCACAGACCCAACACAGGGCTTGAACTCACAGACCGCAAAATCATGCCCTGAGCCGAAGTCGGATGCTTAACTGACTCAGGCACCCAGGTGCCCCTATTTAATTATTTTTGAGAGAGAGAGTGAGACAGAATCCCAAGTAGACTCCGTGCTGTCAGCACAGTCTGATGTGGGGCTTGAACTCACGAACCATGAGATTACAACCTGAGCCAAAATCAAGAGTCGGATTCTCAACCAAATGAGCCACCCAGGCTCCCCTGTTTTTCTTATTAGTTAATTTTAGGGAGTCTAAAACTGTACGTGGATTTCTTTTTTTTTTTTTTCCAAGATTTTATTTTTTAAGTAATATCTACACTCAGTGTGGAGCTGGAACTTTCAACCCCAAGGTCAAGAGTTGCATGCTCTACTAACTGAGCCAAACAGGCACC